ACAATTGCATAGAGACACTAATTTAAGATATCAAATGCAGGTTTTTGGGGGGAAACCCAAGGAACTGTGCATGTACAGTGAAAAATACAAAAAAAAAACCAAAAAAAGAAGAAAACCTATATTTCAATCCTATAAATAATAAAAAAAACCTTCGAAGTAACTGGGGAATACTTTTCCAATGGGAATTTGTATCTCAATAGCTTCTAAACTACTGTGGCGCCACCTGTGCTCGTCGCCAGAGGGCCACGCGCTCGACTTTCTCGCAAGCACTCGATCTAGACACCTCGATGAGGCTCTCAATCGACTATTTAATGTCTCTAAGAGGTTTTAGAGAGTTTTACTCTAAAACTAACCATGAAATCTTAAATATCATATAACACAATTGCATAGAGACACTAATTTAAGATATCAAATGCAGGTTTTTGGGGGGAAACCCAAGGAACTGTGCATGTACAGTGAAAAATACAAAAAAAAAACCAAAAAAAGAAGAAAACCTATATTTCAATCCTATAAATAATAAAAAAAACCTTCGAAGTAACTGGGGAATACTTTTCCAATGGGAATTTGTATCTCAATAGCTTCTAAACTACTGTGGCGCCACCTATGCTCGCCGCTAGAGGGCCACGCGCTCGACTTTCTCGCAAGCACTCGATCTAGACACCTCGATGAGGCTCTCAATCGACTATTTAATGTCTCTAAGAGGTTTTAGAGAGTTTTACTCTAAAACTAACCATGAAATCTTAAATATCATATAACACAATTGCATAGAGACACTAATTTAAGATATCAAATGCAGGTTTTTGGGGGGAAACCCAAGGAACTGTGCATGTACAGTGAAAAATACAAAAAAAAACCAAAAAAGAAGAAAACCTATATTTCAATCCTATAAATAATAAAAAAAAACCTTCGAAGTAACTGGGGAATACTTTTCCAATGGGAATTTGTATCTCAATAGCTTCTAAACTACTGTGGCGCCACCTATGCTCGCCGCTAGAGGGCCACGCGCTCGACTTTCTCGCAAGCACTCGATCTAGACACCTCGATGAGGCTCTCAATCGACTATTTAATGTCTCTAAGAGGTTTTAGAGAGTTTTACTCTAAAACTAACCATGAAATCTTAAATATCATATAACACAATTGCATAGAGACACTAATTTAAGATATCAAATGCAGGTTTTTGGGGGGAAACCCAAGGAACTGTGCATGTACAGTGAAAAATACAAAAAAAAAACCAAAAAAAGAAGAAAACCTATATTTCAATCCTATAAATAATAAAAAAAACCTTCGAAGTAACTGGGGAATACTTTTCCAATGGGAATTTGTATCTCAATAGCTTCTAAACTACTGTGGCGCCACCTGTGCTCGCCGCTAGAGGGCCACGCGCTCGACTTTCTCGCAAGCACTCGATCTAGACACCTCGATGAGGCTCTCAATCGACTATTTAATGTCTCTAAGAGGTTTTAGAGAGTTTTACTCTAAAACTAACCATGAAATCTTAAATATCATATAACAGAATTGCATAGAGACACTAATTTAAGATATCAAATGCAGGTTTTTGGGGGGAAACCCAAGGAACTGTGCATGTACAGTGAAAAATACAAAAAAAAAACGAAAGAAAGAAGAAACCCCCATATCCCTTCCCACTTTTTCCCTCCAGGTTGGTGAAAAGCAGAAAGAGTACAAATACGGGGAATCCCCAAAGGGGATACATGGTCGAGTAAAGAAAGGAAATGATAAACGAAAGAAAAACCCTCGAAAAAAGGCAATCAATTAGACCAGTTCGTGTTCGGTTCTCTTTCCCTTTTGGAGTGTTTGCGGGTGGTTCGAGTGGCCCTGGGCAACTTCCATGGGGCTTTCCCCGTTTGCTTTCTTTCCGCCGACCCTCGTGCGGAAAGTACAGGCCACGGAGCTGTTGTTTCTCGTTTATCACGGTGTTATTTCAGCCGTTCCGTTCCCCGCAATTACGCCGATGTTCATCGAAAATTCACTATAATGAAATCGACTACCCCTCCGCGTGTTTTCAACCCTAACTTCCACCGACGCGAAAGGAGCACTCCGAAACAAATAAAAATATTTCTATGAGTTTGATGCAATTAATTATGAATTTTTGATTCCATTCTTTTTTTTTTATGGGGATGGAAGTTTTTTTGGGGTTTGTTTGAAGTGGAAATTTTTTTTGGTGTTTTCAGCAAGAGAGAATCAAGGAATTGTTCGATCTGGCGGTGCAGAGGCAGACTAAAGAGATGAACGACAACATAACTGGGCAAGGAATTGACAACCATTTAATGGGGCTTTGTTACGCCGCGAAGGAAGCTGGAGAACCGGTTCCAGATATATTCACGGACGAGGCTTACGGGATCATTAATCATTTCGCACTCTCCACGTCCCAGGTCAGTGTGAATCGATACGCGATCGATGATTGAAATTTTTGGGAAAATTAAAAATTTTCAAATTGGTCTGAGAAAATTATTGTTAGCTCAGGGGGTGAATTACAATCACTTTTGGTGAGTAAGACATACCCTCGAAATTCTACGCATTTTCGAGAAAAAAATTCAAGAATGTGGTCAAACTGTTGGATGAAATTAAAAATTTTCAAATTGGTCTGAAAAAATTATTGTTAGCTCAGGGGGTCAATTACAATCACTTTTGGTGAATAGACATAACCTCGAAATTCTACGCATTTTCGAGAAAAAAATTCGAGTAGGGGTGAAATTTTTTGAAAAAATTAAAAATGTTCAAATTCTTATAAAAAAATTATTTTTGGCTAGGGTGGTTAATTGCAATCACTTTTGATGAATACGCATACCTTCGAAATCCTACCCAGTTTTGTGAAAAAAAATCGAGTAGATTCAAAAATTTTACGACGAAATTAAAAATTTTCCAATTGTTCTAAAAAAATTATTCTTAGTTAAAGGGGCCAATTACAAGAATTTTTGGTGGATAGACATACCCACGAAATCCTACTCATTTTCGAGAAAAAAATTGGAGTAGAAGTGAAATTTTTTGACAAAATTCAAAATTTTCAAATCGTTCTAAAAAAATTATTCCTAGCTAGGAGGGTCAATTACAATAAATTTTGGTGAATAGACATAACAACGAAATCCTACCCATTTTCGAGATAAAAAATATTTACCGAAAATATAATGTGAAGGCAGAAATGGTACCCCAAAATTTCATGCATATCTTTAAAACGCCATAACTTTTGAATGGATTGAAGGATTTTAATGTTCAAAGCGGCAATCAACGCGTATTTTAGTCTAGAATATGTAGAAATTCTAAAAATATTGAAAAAGTTGGTCCCTGACACCATAAAATTACAAAAACTTCATAAAAATGGTACCAATTTTCAAACGACCATAACTCCCACAATAGTGAATATATTTCAATGAAATTTTTTTCTCGAGTAGTGCTTATGGATACCTACAAAAAAGTATTAGACAACTTTTCCGTAGGGTGTCAAACAAAATTATTATAAATTATTATAAAAAATCGACAGGGGGTAGGTGCAGAAATTTTTCGACAAAATTAAAAATTTTCAAATCGTTCTAAAAAAATTATTTCTAGCTAGAGAGGTCAATTACAATCACTTTTGGTGAATAGAAATAACCCCGAAATCCTACTCATTTTCGAGAAAAAAATTCGAGAAGGGGTGAAATTTTTTGACAAAATTAAAAATTTTCAAATTCTTATAAAAAAATTATTCTTAGCTATGGGGGTCAATTACAATAATTTTTGGTCAACAAACATACCCCCGAAATCCTACCCACTTTCGAGAAAAAAAATTCTTTGTAATATAATCTTAAACCAGGAATGCATATTTTTAAAAAAACCATAACTCCTGAACGAATTGGTGGATTTTAATGTTTCCAGATGCAAACAACGCGTATTTTGGTGAAGAATATTTTGGAATTCTAAGAATATTCTAAAACTTATTCCCTAACCCCATAAAGTGAGAAAATTCACCATAAAGATGATCAAATTTTCAAAAGACCATAACTCCTGCAATAGTAAATACAATCATTGGTCCAATAGTAATTACAATCTATTGACTGTTTCATTTCCCATCGATTTAAATTAATTTAAAGACCGCCTCCTTTTAGAACGAATCACTAGTGACACCTGGCGGCAAAACTGCCAAACTACTTGATGTACCATATGATAAAGAAATTTTGGCGCCATCTTCTCATGGATGGCGATCAATTGATAAACTATTCACCGAATTAGTATTAATAGAACACCTATAGTGTGTGCATAAATACATAAAACTTGACTATAGAAGGGATCGTTTAATATTTACCACTATTTGAAATGCTATTTTCTTTTCTTTTTTTCTAAAATTCGCTACGTATCAAGTATGATGTTTTCAGGTTACCACGAAGAACGAGGCAATCATTGGGTACGGGCCAGTGGTGCCAGATGGTTACGGATGCGCATACAACATCCGGAAAAACGGATTCCTGTTCTCGGTTTCCGCTTTCCACAGCGACGGTAGGACGAACGCGATGCGTTTTGCTCAAACGCTCGAGCAAAGTCTGCGCGACATGGCTGCCATGCTAAAGACCGCAATGGGCCAATAATAATCGAGCAACGAAACGCTCCAAATAAAATTTGCACAGTTTCGCCGGTAAGAAAGAAAATTAGGGAAATTGTTCCGAATCGGAAATCGCTACGAGTTCAAGCTTGTCGAACGAAAGTATTTATCGTAGTACGGTCAGTAGACGTTTAAGAAAACAGTTTACATTAGACGTATAGTTACCAATTGAGTGTAATTCAAGCTAACACAATTTATTAGACGTCGCTGGTTCGATATTCTTAATTAGGGAAGGCTGCAATCTGTCTCATAACACTTTACCGACCGGTAGCCTATTAATCAACTGTTTTATCGGTCGGTAAACGTCGACCGATAAAACAGTTGATTAACAGGCTATCGGTCGGTAAGCGTTGGCCGGTAAAACAGTCGATTAATAGGCTATCGGTCGGTAAAGTGTTAACACTTCGACTGCCAGGAATTTAAAAAATCAATTATCAAGTTGCAATGATTCAACTAAAATAAGTTAGGTTAATTTACGAATGATATCAAAGCTTCTGTTTGGCGGTCGACGCGTTGAACGATTCAAGATGGCGCTGCTCCATCTTAGCTACCAATTTAACATATCGTGGTAAAGGTACCTCATTTTCGTTGAAAGTAGTTTCCTACGAATAATCGATGTGATAAATTCTGTTTTTAAAAGATCTCTCGTATTTATAGTAAAATTCTGCACGAGTTCAGGTTGGTCGGGCAGCTTAGGTGTTTCACAAACTAGCGCGAATCATCGTCTGATCTTCGAACAATATTTCGATATTTACATTTATCTAGAACGCCATCTATAGGGACGAGTGCGAACGGGCTTGTTATTTCTCGTTGAAGTAGCCACCGATCTCGTCGCTCGATTTCTCGAACACGCGAACACGTTACGAATACTCACTTGTCTCATAATCGGCGACCGGAATTCGACTGACAGGGACGAAAATTGTTTAAACGTTAGTCGCTGCGTGTAGTAGGCAATATAGATCGATCGGTCATAAACTCTAGTCCTGTTACGAACATCCTCGAACATTTACGTCCGAGCGCTGGAAGTTCCTTTCCTGAAAGCGAACAATTTCAATTGTTTACTTATTATATATCGTATGCTTGACCATAATCGTTAGTTAGTATTAATTAAACCACGCACGAGGCACACGAATCACCTCGTGTGAACATTCGTAACCCAAACTGACTGTCGTATCGACACGAAACTGAAGAAGCGACCGCAGCGCCGTCTGCTCACTAATAGCGGTCAATTGAGGAACTATTCACGATTATTCTAACGAAATTAATCGATTGATCGTTAATTCTGGGCCATACAGCTCTCATTCCGTTAAAAAACAATAACTTTCTGCAATTTCTGACTAACTTTTCATTTTTATAACCTGTTGGTAACTTTTTGAGGTCTCGTATGCCTCGTCTGTGGTTAGTTATTAATTATAATCTATTATCGGTGCTTTGACGAAGTCGATCTCGTGTTCTGAGTATTCTAGTCAACGTAATTTTAACTGGAGGATTAGTTAGTGTTATTTAGAGTGGTATTGCTAGGTTAGGCGAGTGCTAGGCACAAATGTCACTTAAATGTGTTGTGAAACCACATTTTCCTCTTTCGTTATAGAATTTTGTTCTTTTAAAAGACGTAGCATCATAATTATACTTCTTCCATGAAATATAAACCTTGGAAGCTTTTAGTAGAACGTTACAGAAGATTTCAAATAATTTAGAACTGTTGACTCGATCTATTAACACGTTCAGAAGTTTCTTTTTTATTATGTTATTGACTACATGTGTAAAATTCCCGCGTAAAATTGTTTCGAAAATCTTCGTTAAATTCTCGGGTTGAAAAAGAATTAGGTTATATCGAGGCTGAAGATATTGTTTCCTACATAGACGCGAATAAAGGATAGAAATACGCGAATAGACGCCGATAAATGAACCTCGTTAGGTAGAGAAGAGATTTCTAGCGCACGGACTCTCGTCTGCCGCAAACACTTTTTAAACGTGGCCAATCGTTCGTGTGTTGGCGCCCGCACAGTAAACTCTTGTCCAATTCTTAGGTAGGTCGGCGATTCGCCCATCTCGATAGACCGGCGAACGTCGACGATAGCTCTATCTGTCTATCACGTTAATATTCTACGTCTAATAACTACTGTAACTAGAGCTACTTCTCCTAAGTACCGAACTCTGTCGATAGAGAAACGATGTTACCTTCCCCCTGGGGCACGAAACTGTTATCGGTCGGCGCGACCCTCCGTACCGACGTCGTTACGCTTGCTCTGTTTTATCGACCGAGCAGAGCTCTACTCTGGAAGTGTCGAGTGCCCGCCATTTCGAGTTCGAACATTTCAAACAACTAGACTAGAACGAAGTAGTATTGCAGATTATTCACAATTCGATCAGATTATAAAGATCGATCGAGGACCATAGAAAACATATCAAATAACGTCGTACTAAGGTTGCAAACTTGAAATTTTCCGGGTACCGACACCCCCCCCCCTACTACAATACATATTTGTTGATATTAGTAACATTTTACGAACTCCGTTAGCTTTGTTGAAAACTACTTCCACTGTACAGACACGCGTATTAGGTAAACTTTTCATCGATGAATGTTTCATCTCTCTATATATATATATATATATAAATATATATTGTCGTTACGCGATGGGTTTATTATTGGATATTAGTTGATCAGAAGTTTTATATTCAGAGTCTAAGAAGTTCTGCTTTAACTTATCACAGAGTGAATCTTTGAATAAACACGAGGAATTGCGATGGTTCCTTATATTGTTAAAATTGTACAGGGTGTTCAACCTTGGGAAAAATTTTAATGGGGGGATTCTGGAGGCCAAAATAAGACGAAAATCAAGAATACCAATTTCCAAAATAAGGCTTCGTTAAAAAGTTATTAACGTTTGAAGTTCCGCCTGTGAGACGGGAACCGTGCGCGCTGCACACTTTAACTTTAAACGTTAATAACTTTTTAACGAAGCCTCAATTAAAAAATTACTATTCTTCATTTTCGTCTTATTTTGGTCTCCAGAATCCCCCATTAAAATTTCCCCCAAGGTTGTACATCCTGTATATACGTGTACGCACATATCATTAGGCATTTACGTACGTAAGAGAATGTATACATATCCCGCGTATATGTGTACGATATATGAAAGTGTTCTGTATTAGTTTAAGATGCAAATACCTATTACGTGTAAGGTAAAATAGAATTATTATTTAAACTAATTATACGTACTGCAACGTGATCGCGATTGCACGTTTACGGCCAAGAATATCACGCATATCAGGCGAAAGCCACAAATAGCGATAATTTTATCGAATAGGACGTGTCCTAGTAAGTTGATAGAATTACTCACGAATGAAGTTCACTGAACAGACAATATCGTATATGTATATTGAAAGTTCAGCGGGACGTTGTTTCGGAGAAAAAAGAAAAAATCGTACGAAGACTACTGTGAAATTTGGTATTGTAAAATTATACGCGCGAAATATGAAATGTGATAACAACGTAATTAGTAAGAATTCTATTCATGAATTATGAAAAAAAAATAATTGTTTCGAGAGATAGCCGTCTTCGTATGTAACGTATCTAACGATTATTAAACTCGTAAGCACACTTCGTTTTCTGTTTCTACAGAAAGTATACACAGCATACCTCTGTAATTAAATAACTAAAAAGCAAGTATGTTGTATTACGTGTACGTTTCCTTGTGCAACAATAAACACTATTGTGACACCACTTCTTTTATTCTATTTACAAATACAGTGTTTACACCAGTTAACATTAGAAAATAATTTAAAGTACACTTTGTGAATATACAAATAACTTTCTCCGGAGACTGGAATGTTACAACCTATCGACAACTTTTATTTGATCGACTTGCACATACTTACGGAAGCTATTAGACTCTCAGTTCGATACTGAATAAAAAAATCTGATTGTGGCATAATTCTATTAGGAACTGCAAAGTCGTCTAAACAACAGAATTACGGGAAAGCTTTAAAAGATAATCGAGAGACTTGTTATTTTTTACAAGTACTTTTGCTATTAAACAGCCAGGAGTCTCGTTTAACTGAGATTCAAGGATAATCAAAACTCGGCTGTACTTAACCTGATGCAGGTGATAAGATATTACAAAATGTCTCGAACCTTCCAAACTGAAAGAATCTAAAATTTAATTTGTGTGTTATACCTGATGGCGCGGTACTGTTAAATCAGCATTTACATCTTCGTACGCTTGAGCAAACGGCAGAGTGAGCAAGGCGTACGCGGTGAACCGTTTCTTTGGGTCGTGTTGCAAGCATTTGTTAATTAGGTCAATGCCTTCGACGCAAAGGTTTTTTGGCAACGTTGGTGTTTCGCCCATTCCAACCTAGAATAGTTAGCATATAGAGCGGGACATCTTAGACAAATGTGATCTTCGAGTGCTATTGCTATACCAGACCTTGAACATTATTTGGTAATTCGAATCGTAATCTGACCAAGGTCGTCGTCCACTGGCCATTTCTACAACGCAACAACCGACCGACCAAATGTCAGCGGCTCTACCGTGGCCGCCAGTTTCCGATTTCATGAACACTTCCGGCGCCATATAAGCTGCACGGAACGAAATTATGTCACTGTCACGTTTAACGATGGGGACTAGGCGTCTTACTAACCTTGAGTGCCGACGAAACCTTGCAACTCGCCAGGCATTGTGGTGTGAGCCTTGATTTGCACGGCACTCCCGAAATCCCCGAGCTTCAGACAGTTGGCCTCGTCCGTTAGAAAAATATTTGCAGCTGCACGTAGAATAGAAACGTAAATAGAGGTGAAAACGATCGAGCTAACTCTTTGCGGCACGCTGGGACTGAAAGGCGACCCGCCATTTTGGATTGCAGCAGCTGCGTGCGCGCGCATGGGTTTGGAACTCGTCTTATGTACGGAAGGTTTATCGCGACTATTTTTTTTTGCGTATTTACGATAACATTTCTGTGCAATTGCGCCGCAAAGAGTTACTTCAAGAGGTGAGACTTGCATTTAATGTCGCGATGAACTATTCCGTTAGAGTGAAGTACAGCCACGGCTGAGAGGAGTTGATGAGTATATTTTCTGACCAGCGTTTCCGGCAAACCGTTCCCACTTCCCGCCACCAGACTCTCCAAAGTCCCCTCGGCGCAGAATTCCATAAATATTAGCATTTCCTCCTGCAACAAATGCAATTTCGTTGAAGATTATTTCTAAAGAGACTCTTCGAGACTTTTGTTGCATACTCGATGAATCTCCAGCCCGTAGTATCGAACTAAATGTTTGTGCTGGATCCCCTCGAATATCTGTAACTCCTCAGCGACCCGCCTGATGGCTCTGTGGTCGCCAGGTTGCAACTGGACCTCTTTCATCGCCAACAATTCACCGGTTTGATTGTTCACCACCGTGTAGACCTTGCCAAATCTTCCTTGGCCTGCAAAACAGAGGTTTCCACGTAGAACAAAGAACATTCTCCCGGTAGCAAAATCATTTACCTATTTTGATTCCCCTCTGCCACGTGAACGTGACTCTCCTCGCTTTGATGCGCACTCTGTCGACAGATTTCCTGTCCGTGACCAGTCCGATGAGTTCGCGACTCCTCAGCCTATCATCGATCTCCGATTCTACCTTTTTAATAGCGCGAATCACTCGTTCTTGCCTAGGCACGCTACGATCGGACGTATTCAAAATGGCGGCCACGCTGCCGTCGACCACGGTCGACGAGAACTTCCTCGAGCCCGAGGACACGTCCGGGGACTTGAGAACATCTTTGGGCCTCTGTGAAAGGCTCAAACTAGCGGTTCTGCTCCTGGCGTGGCAAGGGGACGAGGCTCTCGAGCGAGACAACCGTCGTAAATCTGAAATGAGAACGTCTCATTGCGAGTCTCTGGCTAGCCTGGTAACTTAAACCCTTACTTTCCGTCTCTACGTTGGTAACAGTGTTGGCGTTACCAACCACGTGGGATATGCAACGATCCATGCACGTCTTCAGCTCTTCGAACTCGTCGTCGGTCAGATGCTTGGTATTGTGTGGCTCACAGACAGTGATTAGGAACTCTAATCCTTGATTTGCCCATCTGGGCCTCAGGCCCCTCCCACGCTCGCAGCGTGTTCTAACGAACTCCATCCACAGAAGAGCGAAAGACACTAGACTTCGAGCCAAGAGAGCCTTTTCACCGAGCGCGAATAGTTTACACGTCTCTTTATGGTAGTCAAACCCCATTCGATAGGCTTGGTGAAGTATTTCTCTTATTCTAGAACGCATGGCAAATCGGTCACACTCTGCGTTGGGTTCCTCAACTTCCTCGATGTCGCGTTCGAAGTTCTCGATGACGCTTCTTATCTGGTGACGCAGGTCCATGACAGTTTCCTAGATAGATGAACAGGATTCTTTTAACACTAGATTGCCCAAGGAAGTCATTTCGACTGCTTTTTAATTTCAATTAGAAAAACAATTATGTATATAATGACACAATTTCTTAGAATTTTGTGACTCTTTGTACAACATATAAATGCGTTTATTAATAATTGTAGTTACCTCCCCCCTCCTTCATTTCCGGTATATATATATATATATATATCTGTTATACCTATATCGCCCAAAAGCAGTCATTTTGACTGCTTGGGAAATTTTAAATAATCAAATGACTCTTATTATTGAATTGAGTAAATTTCTTATATGACCAGTTCGACTCTGTATTGAAATAACGGTTTTCATTTTTTTTCGATTACCAACACATGATAACATACAAGTACATGATAAATTGTCGATTTGGGCTTACCTAACCCAGACCTAACCCAGACCTAACCCAGACATAACCCAGACCCTAGATCTGGGTTAGGTCTGGATTAGATCTGAGTTAGATCTGAGTTAGGTCTGGGTTAGGTCTGGATTAGATTTGAGTTAGCTCTGGGTTAGGTCTGGATTAGATCTGAATTAGATCTGGGTTAGGTCTGGTTTAGGTCTGGGTTAGGTCTGGGTTAGGTCTGGATTAGATCTGAGTTAGCTCTGAGTTAGGTCTGGATTAGATCTGAATTAGATCTGGGTTAGGTCTGGGTTAGGTCTGGTTTAGGTCTGGGTTAGGTCTGGGTTAGGTCTGGATTAGTTAATAATCCAAATTATCTTAACCCTTTGCACTCCTATGTCGAGTGTGATTCGACATCAATTTTGATCTCAGGAGCACCTTCGTCAAGTCTCACTCGACATTCTTTCAAGTCCAAACCAAACAGATATCATACACTTGGAAATTACAAAATACAACAACAGTGTAAATAAAACACTTACTTTAACAGGTAAATTTCAAATAAAACACTTAAAAGCATTGTTCGTCAAGTCCCATTCGACATTTTTTCGAGTCCAAACCAAATCATACACATGGAAATTACAAAATACAACAACAGTGTAAATGAGACCTAACCCAGACCTAACCCAGATCTAACCCAGACCTAACCCAGATCTAATCCAGATCTAATCCAGACCTAACCCAGACCTAACTCAGATCTAATCCAGACCTAACCCAGACCTAACTCAGATCTAATCCAGACCTAACCCAGACCTAACCCAGATCTAATCCAGACCTAACCCAGACCTAACTCAGATCTAATCCAGACCTAATCCAGACCTAACCCAGACCTAACCCAGACCTAACCCAGATCTAATCCAGATCTAATCCAGATCTAACCCAGACCTAACTCAGATCTAATCCAGACCTAACCCAGACCTAACCTTGACCTATTGATAAATTGCAGTTTCTCAATAAGCTAAAGTAGTACTTGTTATTCGAATCTTTATGCAGTGATACTTGTTCTAACAAGTTGTTTATTTTATTTCTGCGCCCTAAATTCATAATATTAAAAATTAATTTTAAACAAATTTCTTTACACATTAGTTAGTCTTTCACAATGCAGTAATTTTGACTGCTTTTGGGCAATATATGTATATACTAAGTTTCAGTCTTTCTAGTGTTAAACGTTTTAACTTTATTCTTCAGTGGACTCTTACCCTTAAATCTATCAAAGACCCTTCCAACACGTCGTTGAAGACTGGCCACTTCTCGATGTCGCGTTGCAGACACCTGGCGAGGGTGACGCTTTTGACGACTTTCTCACGAGCCTCCACGAACATCCCTTGCCATTCACGGCCCACGAATATAACTTGTAATCTGAACAATGTCTCAGGATGGAACACACATTTGTCGAGCGCGGACGAAAGGGTATAAATCTAGGCTTACTTGTTCGACCAATCGTCGTCGCTCCACTCCTCCGTGCTCTCCTTGATCTCGCGAGGCCTCTCGTTGAAGAATTCTTTCACCTGCTTGATCATCGTTCTCGCGATTTCGCTGGAAAGATTTCAAATAAACAGTGTTTACATTCCCTAAAAAATTGAACGCTTACCAAAACTTCACGCCAGCTATTTTGTATCCGTCGGATATATTCCCGGCGATCGACTTGACGAATATCCACTCGTCCATGATCAGGTTCTTGTGAAAGCTGTCGTGCTGCACCATGTCTACCCACTGTTGCAGATAGTCTAGATACACCTCGAAGACAGCCTTCAGGCTTTCGTCGAAGTCTTTCACGTCCTCTTGGAACAGATACTCGCAGCTGTTGTTGTCGCCAGCGATCGCCGCGCAGGAATGAGCAGCGAATCTGTCGCGGTGGATGCAGGCGATCCTGAGACCCTCTCTGAGCTCGCGCATGAGCTGTCGAACCGACAAGGGACTAGGTTGCTCCGGCTTCTGCTCCAGCCTCATTCTCAAGAACTCGTGCACCACGTCCAAGGGTACACGAGACAGGAACACGAAGGCGGCTCTGAAATAATTAACGGTTATTTAATGGAAAACTATGAGAGCAAGACGTAAACGCGATACGTTACTCCATTTGTCTACCTATACGAGGGGAGATTCAGCTCTCTTGCTTCGGGACACCAGACACCGTATCGACGCAGCTGCTCGTCGCCTTCGTACTCCTCGCTCACGGCGTTCTCAGACTCGCTTATGTTACTCTTCTCTAACGTCAGTCTTGCTTTCCTCAGGATGGACGTGTGCAGTCTCTCGAGGAAGTTTAAACTCTTCCCGAGGCCTCTGGTCTTCAACACGTCTTCGATATACTTCCTACGTGCAACAAAGTATAATTAACCGTGGGTAAATCAAAGAAAATGATTTTAAGTCTCACCTGTAGGCCTGTCGATCGAACTCGACCAAGTAGAAGTCGAGTTGCTCGCCCTTCTCGTACCCCGTGAAGGTGAAGGAGGTGTCGGGTGTGGGAGTCCATGATTGGACTATTGACAAACCAACGGACGAATTGTTACTGTTGTTACTGTCAGACGGGCTGGAGCTTTCATCCTGATTCGAGATCTTGAACCGTACCGAGGACTGTCGCTGCTCCGAAGAGTCCACCGTGTCAGAAGACCGTGAACTGTAGAAAATAAAGTAGAGTTTAATGCTCTAAATATCAATTGTTGCATTATAGTTCGCACCTTATCCCGGAATCTCCAGTTTCATCGTGTTTTTTCTTATTGTGCAACATCATGAGCAATCTTCCCAATATTTGCAACTTGAAGCGATGATGTTTCGTCATATTGTACCACAGACACATCGCTTTCACTCGACCACTGAACTCAGCGCTCTTGTACAGCGGATAATGCGCAGCCAGAGCTTGCGACGAGGGGTAAAGCGCCTCGGCTGCTTCCAATCTGGCCAATAAACCTTCAACTTGCTGTAACGCCTCCCCCTGTGCTCGCGCACACGCTCTACAATACATCGAAAGGCAACCTGGACAAATACCTAGCTCTATGCTCGGGCTGGATCCAGGATTCTCTGCTCGATCAGAGTCCGTGTCGCTAACGTTGATCCAAGGTGTATTATTATCCTTCACGCTCGCGATAGGATCGTATCTGTGAACGTATTTGGATTAGAAGCTGATTGAAAATGTGTGGCTTATAAATTCTGTTAATTTACCTGTACTCCATTATTTCTTTAAGTAAACCTTCCACGGCTTCGCGTTGCTTGCACAAGTACTCGTCTTGCGCCATTGGACTTCGATCCGCGTGGTGAGCTTGCAATTCCAGCCATATCAAATCTTTCAACTCGTTCTGCCATCGGGATTCTTCGTGGCTCATCTGACGACGACAATTGCGCTCTTTGCTGCCCTGCAATGTTGTTAAAAAATAACATTAGCTATGTAAAATACTGTTTTTTTAAAATTTTACTAAATTATTGAAACTCGTATAGAGGTTGTTCAGTCAACCGTGGGAAAAATTTTGATGGGGGATTCTGGAGCCAAAAATAAGACAAAAATCAAGAATACCGATTTCCAAAATAAGGCTTCGTTAAAAAGTTATTAACGTTTGAAGATAAAGTGTGCAGCGCGCACGGTTCCCGTTTCACAGGCGGACCTATAAACGTTAATAAATTTTTAACGAAGCCTCAAACGAAAAATTACTATTCTTCATTTTCGTCTTATTTTGGGCTCCGGAACCCCCCATTAAAATTTTTCCCACGGTTGACTGGAACAACCTGTATACCTCGAAACATGACTATTTACCAATTTGATTAGAAAGGAGAATGTGTCGTGGAATATTTCTCGTTCCTCGAAACTTAGCGCCTTTGGTGAATGCACGGCCGATTCTATACTGTCCAACAAGAGAATTTGCTCGTTAAGTTCAGGCTCAACCTTCTTCTCTTCTATGTCCACGGGCTTTGACCGCAGACTTCGAAATCTATTTCTGGTTTCAATCTGTAAATAGTCTCCATTAGTTCTCGTTTGAACGTCGGCCAAAACGCTCTTTTGGTCTTGAAATGTCAGAGAATGGACACCTTCATATGATTAGGTGTGGACGATTGATAATGATCCGATCTTTCGGCGTAATTGTAGGCCGCCTCCATGTCTAGCTTTAAGTCCCTCTCGTTGCCTCGCAATAATTTCAAACTTCTTTTACATTTTCGATTTCCCTCCTTCGTCATGTCCTGATTCGTCTCGTTTTCGCAATCCCTGTCCGCTTTATCGCACATCTCGTTGAATATTATGTTGTCCAGAGTGTTTCGTCTGCGAATCATCACTTTCGACGGCGTTTCCTTCTCTAACGACTTTACGTCTCTGAAAATTAATTATAATAATAATTTAATAGTAATTTAATTGAATTAAATTAATCAACTGAGATTAATTAACTTACCCCCCATTAAGTTTCTGCTTCATGTACCTCTTCTTGCGATTCAGTCGTGTCCTCGGCGGCGTCCGTCCGTAAATATCGCACATCGCTTGGATCGACTCATCGAACTCACTAGTTGCGATGCTCGATATTTTTTTACTGCAAAATAATAAATACAGACCAAAATAAGACGAAAATCAAGAATATCAATTTTTCATTTGAGGCTTCGTTAAAAAGTTATTAACGTTTAAAGTTAAAGTGTGCAACGTGAACGGTTCCCGTCTCACAAACGCAACTTTAAACGTTAATAACTTTTTAACGAAGCCTCAAACAAAAAATTACTATTCTTTATTTTCGTCTTATTTTGGCCCCTAGAATCCCCTATTAAAATTTTTCCCACGGTTGCCAGAACACCTTTTCAAGTTCAAGTTCGTTACAATATTTGACTCACTTTTATACAAACTACGAAACAACACGGGATATATTCCGAGTAAATATTATTAAGAACCATGTGTTCGTACGTTTTGAAAAACCGCCCACGTAGGAGAGTCGCGACTGGAATGCGCAAATTCGATAACTATGTGATCGCAACAATCACACCGACATTTTCGCATAACAGGTGTCGTGTCCAAACAATACGTTTCTCACGATTCACAACAGTAGAAAACACGCGTTCGGCGATTAATCTCGCGATGCAGCGTCTACGATCCGTTCGTGATCGTAGATTGTCACTCTGCCACGAACGAATGCCAAGCTACAGAATTAAATGCCCGACGAAATTTCGATAAATGGTCGTCACTACGAGAACGACAGTCCTCTCGTACGATCGACGAGCATATGTGCGCTTCTTCTTCGTTCCTCGTCGTATAAATACAACGGTCTACTTTCGATGCGTGGAGAACGCGACCGAACGTCGAATGACATGTAAACAAAGCGTAAACATCGAGCCGGTGCTATTTTCGAATCGCTCGGGCCAGCTAGACGGGAACCGTTCGACGCGAAGTCGAGGGTGGAACTCACCCAACGTAACCGGCCTCATCGTCAGAGGAGCCCGAGTAGAGAAATTCCGTAGGACGATTTCGTCTATCGTAACCAAACATTCTTCGCACGCGAGATACATATCACATATCGAGACGATGCGGATGAACCAGGAGTGTGCAGGCCAGGGCTGTCCACTCTGACTGAAAACTGGAGTCACGGTACTTCCAGAGCGCCCCGCGAGTGGCGCTGATGTAGTATTCTCCATTATCTCACAGTGCATAGTTTGTGGTTATTCAACGATCTTCAAAGAATTTTGTTTGGAAGCGATGAAATACTATGAAGTTCATCGTCAAAAGAGCACCACACTGCATTAAAATTATTTTTATAATTCAAATTTGTATTTACTAAAAGTGTAGACCTTAATTTATTAAACTTACTCTGAGACTTATTTTTACAATTAAAAGCAACCGTAATGGGTCGAAAAATACGTTGACTACGTGGCGCCATCTTACGACGAAACGCCCAAGTTTAAGCTTGGGCATTCTGCCGTGGATGGAGCCACTCGTTCAGCTTTCCTGAGCCACCTAGCGTCGAAGAAACCAAACTGTACATATTATTTATTTATTTATAATATATATTCAATTTTCAAACTATTCAAAGAACTTAATTGCTATGCCTGTAATTTCAGTACCTGTAGTATTTATTTATCCATCGTTATAAATATTCAAAAAGAAACAGATAAAGCAATGTAATATTTATTTACATAATGAAACATACGTTTTATTTAATATGTTACTTTAAAAGACTACTTAATCGTGCACGCTTTTTACACATACTTTTGTATTCCTGTTGTTTAAAATTATCCTACGTACATGGACAAACCTCAGTCTTGCAAAATATACACTTTGATTTTATTTAAATACAAAAACGTGTGCATTAGTCACGATAAATTAGTCGGAGCTTATCAGTTAATACAGCATTTAAACAATTCTAACAGTAAATGTTTATTGAAAGTAATTCAGTACATTAAATTGAAAAATAAATTATATAATACTATAGCTACAGTATTTATCAATTAATCTGTATACAGTTTTCTTTAACTTAACGATTTAAGTGAAAAGTTTGAAAATCATCTAACCTCGTTATCCTTCTATATGAAAATATTACTTTTCCAATTATAATACACTGATTATGAGAAAAGTGTTAATTTCATTGTTTCAATTCAATCACATTCATAGAGATGCAGAGCAAAATATTTTACCTAACGTTTAAGTATTTTTTTTTTAATTCCCTAACGTTATGTTAATCAGTAAAACATTTCAATATGCGTAACCAATGTATATCAGCATCAATTATCTAAATTTTACAGAATTGTACACAAATTCTGGAACACGTTAAAAAGTCCGTACGTGTTAATTTCCCCAAAAAATCGAATCAGTGTTAAGTAAGCATAATTGCGTATGATATAATAAATTACATTTAACTGACACTGAACTATAATCATATGTATATAATTCATTATGCCATCTATCGATATAAATAATTTGTATACTGTAACATCAATCAGATGTAATTTATTATATTGTATACAATTCTTTCCATTATTTCTATTTCTATTCTGCGATTTTCGTTACACGTACAAGACGTTCGTAAAAGAAATACCCTATCCCTATGCAGCTCAGATTTTACTATTACAATCTTCATTGGATATCGTAAGTACACAATCAATTAGAACTGTAAAATAGCTAATTGTGTTCTTAATCTGATCTAAATGGATACAAATAACAAAGTACTTCGTTTATGAACATCATTGCACATTGTATTAGGTTGTTCGGAATGTTCGTTTTCAAATTCGTACGTTGGACGTGTTAACTAACATAATTTCACAAGATTTAATAAGAACGTTTGTTTTGATAGAAATTTTAATCTTGGAAGAGCTTAAAAATCAGCTGTTTTGATCCAAATCCAGTTAAACAAAATGTCGTCTTATGAATTTCTGTGCAAGACTTGAAACGAACTTTTCGAACAACCTGATGCATTATATTGGAATAAAATCTTGGCTATGAAAATGAGGCAGGTAGGTACAAGAATCGATACTTGTTAAAAACAAACATAATCACAAATGATATACAGGGTGTTCAGACAACCGTGGGAAAAATTTTAATGGGGGATTCTGGGGGCCAAAATAAGACGAAAATGAAGAATAGTAATTTTTTAACGGAGCCTCAAACGAGAAATTGGTATTCTTGATTTTCGTCTTATTTTGGCCTCTAGAATCCCCCACAGTAATGCCCACTTAAGTGACCGCGACCGGTCATTTAAGTGGGCACTACTGTGGAAGATTCTAGAGGCCAAAATAAGACGAAAATGAAGAATAGTAATTTTTTAATTGAGGCTTCGTTAAAAAGTTATTAACGTTTAAAGTTAAAGTGTGCAGCGCGCACGGTTCCCGTCTCACAAGCGGAACTTTAAACGTTAATAACTTTTTAACGGAGCCTCAAACGAGAAATTGGTATTCTTGATTTTCGTCTTATTTTGGCCTCTAGAATCCCCCATTAAAATTTTTCCCCCGATTGAACACCCTGTAGATCCTTCTAATTTCCATTTTCAAAGTTTTCGCCACCCATTATGAACAAAGTATAAATACATCACCTTGAATGCCACTATTTATATCAAATCGTTTACATACATGATTATAATTGAGTCCTATATTGGCCACAGTATACTAAACTTAATATCATTAAATTTAAATTAAATTCAAAAAGCTAACTTTAAAGTATATGATAATATGCATTTATCTAAAAATTCATTTTCTTTTTTCATTTTTTCCTTTTGTTGGCATACTCTTTTTAATTACTATATCTCCTCTGTATTACATCTAACAAATTGTAAAACTATTTCTGATATTTAATTAAATTCTAACAACATTTATGTATCAAGAATTGTAAAATTATACTTGGATTAATAGAATGGAATTTCGAGCTTTAAAATACGTAATTTAAAATTAATAAAATGTTACTGTAAATTACATAGGATTATTATCGTTACAGCGAGATAAATTTTCCTAAATAAATCAACACACTCCATGTAATAAAATGAAGAATATACAAGGTGTATAGCACCATTCTAGAATAATCTAATTAAAACATTTAAAATCACTATATTGGAAAAAAGTAATATTTGTAACTATCATTCGCATAAAAATGAAAAACTTCGTACTATTTTTAATGCTATTTCTTACTGATTTCCTTTGTTAATTAAGAAAGTATTTTGTGATGCATCATTGTATGTTTAATTGCTGCTTATAAATATACTCCATCTTTGTTATAGATCTGCGATGCTTCGTTTCATCAAGATTAAGATTTATTATGACTCATAAAAGAATGCAAAATACACAGTACACTTAACATTAATGATCATTATAATTTTATTCGGCTTTTGGAATCTTTATTCTGATAAACACAAACACCTCTCTAGGTCGTCTCACAAACAAATATTTACAATTATAATTTAATGAAATTAATGGATCACAGCAACAAATAGGACACATTGGGTATATATGCGACTTTGAATTTTTTTTTTTTTGTATGAATAGATACTTTATACATGAAATTGCTAAGCATTAAAATTACGTTAGTTGTAAAACGAAAATTTATTGAAGCAAAGTTCTATGGCTAGGTAAAATATTTGAATTCTATGTCTGTGCATCCAAAATGTCTCCGATATTGTCACTCGAGCATGAACTCACACGAATTGTTCACCTTTTAATAGAAAATGTCATATTTTCATAAAAAAAAATCTCAGCTTCATATAATCTTGTACAAAAAGTCATGGAACTTCGGATAAATCATTAAAAAGTTTTAGATACTTGTACCCCCCTCCCCCCCCCCCTCCCCTCCCCTCCCCCCCTCTCGTACAATTTAAGAGACCGATTATAACGTTCGTAACAAACATGAAAGCGCTACACAATTAGTCTGACGTTAACGCGGCATGCGGAAAGTCGTAAACATATTTCTGTTCGGAATACATACATGTTTCGTAAGTAGATGAAGTAACCGGAAGTGTCTGATATGACTCATGCATAAACGCAAAATGATTTATTTATGACTTGATGCATGATTTACTTAATTAGTTGTATATCGATAAAAGTTTTATAAACTACCGCTTGTAACGTCCCTTTATCAACTGCAGAGCTTTTGCCATTAGTGGTGCTTTTGTTTTCTTCATATTACCAGACGCTGCAAAAACAAATATTATTTTTCGATCTGATCAAAAAGAAAAAGAAAAAAACAGCTCGATAGTTAATACTGTGTCTTCACATTGTGCACTTCCGTTTCAAGTTCTCAGCTACTATTAACAGTGTACAGGTAACAGAGTGGCTTAAATTGTTTTTTTTAACATATAAAATTACTTACTTGTTTTTATACGAGGCATAGGCGGTGGCGGAACAGCGATGTTCGTCGCAGCTGCGGGGCCACCACCGCTAATTAATTTCTTCTTTAAACTAGAGGCAGTATTAGGTACCGAATTCGCAGTACCATATTTGGCTTGTTTTTTAAGAATATTCCTCGGTGGTTTCACGACATTGTCAACGTATGCAAGCTTAGTGGATCTCACGGGAATCGATTTATCGATCGATTGCTTTATATTAGCGGTGAGCGTTTTTAATTTTGCTTCCCTTTCATCCAGACAGCGCTAACAAATATAATAACATTATTTAAAAAAAAAGCATGACTGTTATTTTAACAAGAATCAACCTTGGGAAAAATTTTGATAGGGGATTCTAGGGGGCAAAATAAGACGAAAATCAAGAATACCAATTTCCAAAATAAGGCTCCGTTAAAGAGTTATTAACGTTTATAGTTGCGTTTGTGAGACGGGAACCGCGCGCGCTGCACACTTTAACTTTAAACGTTAATAACTTTTTAACGAAGCCTCAATTTAAAAATTACTATTCTTCATTTTCGTCTTATTTTGGTCTCCAGAATCCCCCGTCAAAATTTTTCCCACGGTTGGTTTATTATTTCAACAAGAATCAAATGCTATAATAATTTGATAGTGCATACCATGTACATTTCACGCCACGTTTCCATCTCCTCCCTCTGTTTATTTCTAAATTCTCGATTACAATGGAACTGCCACAAGCAATCTGTGTCTTCGATTAAATAAGGATTGTGATGCTCCAACATGAACAATTGATCGGCTGTCGCGCGTTCCAAAACAGGTTTTATTATATCGAAAGGCACGCCACCGGTAACTTCGAGTGCTGCACGTAACAAAAACCAAAAAAATCATCACTCTGCACGTAAAACTTCGACATTATTTTAACAAATCGCTTACCGTCAATGTTTTCTATCAGTACTCTCGTACACAATTCGAACAGAGTTGGCACACTTGTGTAACTGGATTTGTTCCCCGAGTACACTTTTGTTCTGCAATTAAAAATCAACGTATAACTTGTTTCCGTATATTTACATAAGTGTTAAAAAGCTACCTTTGATTTTTAACGTAGATCACATCGGTAAGAGCTTTGTCCTCTTCTTTGCGATGCATAGGATTTATGTACGGTAATGGCTTGTAATTGGGACTAATTTCAGGCAATGTGGATGCCAAATCTATGCTCAACGGCTCTAATTTTACGGTCGATGATAAAAGAGATGGTGGCTGGAAGGAAAAATATGAATTGCATTTCACAATTCGTAAATATTTCTCGTATAATCGTATATAATCAAAATTACTTGTAAAGGATCGCTACTCGTCGGTTCAGTTTTTGGTACTGATTTTTTATTATTCACAGTTGGTGGTTCTTGTTTGATCAGTTTCGTTGAAGTCGGGTTCGAAGTAATGTTACTACGTTTTCTAGATGGCTGAGCCATTGTGCACATACCAAGTGCCTCTGCAAAACTAGCCCCTGTGTGCAAGAACAAATCACGGATATATAAATTACACGATTCTTTTTCTGAACGGTATCGTAAAAGGGAATATTTCTTTAATACACTATCATTATAGAAAAATATGCTACTTTATTTTTAATAAGCATTATAATCACAGAACAGTACAGTAAGAAAACAAATGTATCGAACATCTTTTAAAGTAATAAAGAAAACAAACATAATATTCTTCGATTATCTTAATAATAACATGTGTTTGCAAACTAACCGGAATTGCAATCTATCCCCTCGTCGCCGTTTATTTCTTGTTTGGTCTTTGACAATTCTTTTGGTTCCTTCGATCCATGCTTCGAATGCTTCGACTCCTTGCTAGATTTACTTTCATGTTTACTTTTCCCCTCTTTGTACTCCTTTTTTTTACTTCGATCTTTGCTCTTATCGCGATGCTTATCACTACAGGAACTATTATGCTTTGACTCTGACGATTCCTTACTGGAATGATAACTTTCTTTAATTTCGTCTTTGCTACAGCTCGTTTGAGCCTCGCCTTTATACTTGAATTTCTCCCCGTTGTCTTTTAATTTGCTACCAGATGGATCGTTTCTGTGTTTGCTAGAGCTGCTCTTAAACTTCTCCGGCGAGTCTTTCTTTTCCTGCTTGATCTCAGTTTTGATCGACACCTCTTTATCCTTAGGCTCCTCTTTTATCTTAATTGTACTAGACGTAGCGTTGCTCAAATGCTTATCAAAAGCTGAAGGTACTTGGATTTTACTATCGTCGCTCTCGCTTTCGGAATTTTTTCTCCGTTTGCTTTCCTTTCTCACGGTGCTCGAGCCATCGATTTTCCGTTTCTTCTGATTTTCTTCGCTGCTTTTGGACAAAGTACTATCGGACAATTTATTAGAATACTTCTCCAAGCTATCGGATTTGTTATGATTCTGATGTTTGGAACTATGAACATCATCTTTCTTAGAGGCACTTTTATTATCCTTTAAAGATTCTTTTTCGCTTCTCGACTGATACTTATGGCTGTGCTTGTTTCTCTCATGCTTCTTTTGCTTTTCTGTTTCGCTCCCAGAACTTTTTGCAACATCGCAATTGCTCTTGGCTTGAGGTTTATCGACTTTTAATTTTGATTCTTGTTTAGACGCATGTTTGTTACCGTGCACAACGTTTGATGTTTCGCTTCTTTCTATCTTGTGCCTATGCTTTCCACTTTCTTGGCTCTTGTGTCTGAAAAATCATATTAAACATATGATTCTATTTGCTTCGAGAAACAATTATTAGTTTCATGTTGTACAAGCGACACATAATCGTACTTCTAGATTCACCAAATACTTTAAATATTAGTTTGTCGATTTTCTGCCCTACGTTACGATCATACTTGAGCCATGTTTAATAGAAATGATAAGAGAATGAAAGTGCACTGTACCTTGCGACACTTTCTTCAGATTTTGGAGATTCACGACCGTCGCTATAACTTTCAGGTGCATCTGGAACGCACGCTTCGTCCTCGTCTTCGCCTTCGCTAGTTTCTTCGCTAGCAACCATGACTTTCCATTTGGCGACGAGTGCCTTCGCTGCGTCTCCTATTCCACCGTCATACTTCCTCAGTGCGTTCACCGTGCGACCAACGCCGGTCTCTTGAAGGTGTTGCACCGTCACTGGCAAATTGGACAGCTTGGAAATGCAATGTAATATCTGCAAACATTCAAAAATCAACACATTTAAAAATACACTCTTCGATTTAAAAGCAATAATCAAGAAAACCGCATATTTTTCTGAAACGATTTTTATTTAAGGAACAAGACCAAAATGAAAATAAATCAGAATATCGAACGGATTGATTTACAATTAAAATTAGAAACATATTCTGGTTTCTGTTACTGTACAGGTGAAAAGTTCGAACGATAACGCGTCTGATTTAAATATCATCGTGATTGTGTTTAAACATCAGTGTGAGGTTATACTCGAACGCTATTAATCAAACTGCAACGTCGTATGCATCGCTACGAATTCGATAAACATTGAAATTAACGCAGCAATACATACTCTATCTTCATTGTCATCGCATTTTTCAATATTTCGTTGATAATGTTTAATTTTATCCACAACAGACATTATTGCGGCCGCCAGCTGCTAACTGCTGTTGTCCCGTATTCATGGACAGATGGATAACGATGGATGAGAAAGGTAGTTTCGATAGAAATACACGTTTATTGACCACGCGGTAAATTCCGTCGTAATCAGATCAGGAAGTGGCAAATACAATTTACACGATGCGATCTGAAAATTATTCCGATCATTTTTACTGGCACGATGCTATATACGACATCTTTAAATAACCGTTTTGACAAAGTGAAAATTAACTGATCAAGAAATTACTATGGAATTCCTATAGAAACGATCCGTCTTCGACGAGGTACGCAGACATCGAAGGGAATTGATAAATAAAATGGCGAAAGTGAAACCCAATGATTTTCACCAGTTAAATATAGTTGTAACACAAGAGTACTCGGACGGAAACGAAACCCCCGACGTCTTTCATGTAGCTACGACATCCTCGCGATATCGACAGAATTTAAACGCGAACATCAAGTCTACACAGTACTACTCTGTGAAATACATTCAATTCTTTGTTGTGAATAATATATGCGCCGATATTTGTTCATAAAGCGATCTAACACGGTGTGTAGGGATCAGTGGATCCAAAGCTAACTCCTTTTGTGTTCAGAATTTCCCTATTATAACGTTCGACGACACAGAGGAGATAACCGGCTCCGTAGAGTCAATGTTTTCAATGAATCGATGTTCCATGCACGGATAATACAATATCCACGAAGAAACCTGTTGCACGGACAGTTTGTTGTTTTTGTATACGATCTGTCTTAACCACGAGAAATCTCCGTTCGATCGCCGTGTTCTTCGATCCAAAGCAATCTTCAAACTTCGCGATCATTTCGAATGAGTTTCACGAGCTTCGTTAAAACTTTCAAGTACTGGAGCAATTTGCTCCGAAATGGGAAATACTCCTAACCTCTCACGCACGGACATTCTGCAGCTTGGGGATTAGGATTTTCCACGAAATTAAAGCAAACGTAAAGTTCCATTCGATCTTAAAACTCTCACTTTATAATTGTATTAATTTTCCTTAAAGTTATGCAGGTGTACGGTGTCACTAACCAGGTCGTATCTTGTTTGTTGACAACAGCTCCGTCTAATTTGTAACACTCGAAAATGGAGTTTAGCTTTAAAAATGGACTTATTTATGTTTCGCTTGTGCAATTTAACATTTACTGGCATCGATAGGCCTTGCGAGCATGATTAGCAGATGGCTGGGTGTGGTAACGGGTTAACATTTTAATTTCCAATACCCGATCAAGCTAAAAACTTAACATACTACTTGTAGAAGCTAGATTGTTAATATTTTTGTTGACAACTGTTCATCGAACCTAAAAACCTTGATACCTCTTCCCCCCCATCACTCATCGCAGCAGTTTCATGGCGATTCTGTATATTCATGTTTCGCTTGTGCAATTTAACATTTACTGGCTTCGATAGGCCTTGCGAGCATGATTAGCAGATGGCTGGGTGTGGTAACGGGTTAACATTTTAATTTCCAATACCCGATCAAGCTAAAAACTTAACATACTACATGTAGAAGCTAGATTGTTAATATTTTTGTTGGCAATTGTTCATCGAACCTAAAAACCTTGATACCTCTTCCCCCCATCACTCATCGCAGCAGTTTTTAGGTTCTGGATGAGTATGCCCAGAGGAAGTCATGCCCCTTTAATTAAATGCTCTTGCTACGCAAGGTGCTAATAAATCTGACGGTGCTCGCCGTGGTCCTAGGGCTGTTCTACTGCTACCAAACTTTAAATGGTGTCCGTTGGTCGATGCGAATCATCCCTCAGAACGCCTCGACCCTCCAGTCGAGCCGTTCTGGGGACACTGTGCTCTCGAGCGTGTTGCTCGCGGGCGAAAACATTTACTACAACGTCTGGTGCATATTCACCAAAGTCGCCAGCAACTCGCCGATGAGACGCAAGTTCGAGATCTTCGCTGACTCGTTGCTCAGACTGTCCTCAGTCGACATCGCGTTACACGTGATCACCGACGAAGACAGCAAGGACGTGGCCAAGAAAGTTCTCGACAGCGTCCTGTCCTCCACCGGGAAATTCATGAAGGTTCGACCACCATTACTCTAGCTCACAAGCTTGCTTTACTCCATTGGGTCTGTTTGCTTCAGGTACAATACTATGACGTGCACGAGCTGGCGTCTAGATTGGAGGACATAGTGCTGGTCATGTCTTCGCACTTCAGCAGCAAACCAGGGACTTATTACTCGGATGCCCTCTTCTTTCTGTCCCTGGGTTTGCACAGAGTGGCTCCGGTCGAGCAGAGCCTGGCGGCCATGTTCGACGCGGACACCAAGTTCCGCAAGGACATTAAAGACCTGTTTGAAGAGTTCAACAGCTTTGGTAGCCAAGCCTTGTTCGGTTTGGCGCCGGAGCTCACGCCTGTTTACAGGCACGTTTTGTATTTGTATCGCAATAAACATCCACATACAATGTTCGGGGAACCTGCTGGGTCCGGTGGCTACCCAGGGTACAACAGCGGAGTGGTGCTGTTCAACCTGGACAGGCTTCGAAATTCGTCTGTTTATCAGCAGATTGTTAAAAAGGAGAGCGTTGATTCCATGACGGAGAAGTACCACTTCAAGGTAAACAAATGTAACTTGAGATGAGTCACAAGTTTGAGTACAATCGATGGTTGTGGAATTGGTTTTGCAGGGTCATCTTGGGGACCAAGATTTCTACACGCTGCTGGGCATGGAGAGGCCGGATCTGATTCGAACCATCGACTGTGGTTGGAACAGACAGCTCTGCACATGGTGGAGAGACCGTGGCTACGCGGACGTCTTTAAAAATTACTCCAGCTGCGACTCGGAGACGAAACTATGGCACGGGAACTGCAATACCCCTGTACCTGACGATTAGGGTCCTCCTGGACTTCGTTCCACTCACAGGACTATTTTTTTATATTGTGCAATTGTAACGATTCGAGTTTAAATACAGCGATGATACGTTTAAAGCGATTCGATTGGTTGTTTTTTTTTTTTTTGATGATTCTAAAATGGAAGGAGAATGTTTTTGGAGTGAAAAGAAAGAGTATCATAGAATAATAATAATCCTCTCCAAAAACATCAACACAATATATTTTTTTCCCCATTTCTTTTGAAACTTCATCGCAGTTTCTTCGATTCTAACAATAACAGACATTGTTTCTCGGAGAAAAAAAAAAAAAGAAAGAAACATAGTAATCCATAGTTATGCTTAAGAAAGTAGAAGATATCACCTTTGGTCCCACTGATAGATACTTAACGCTAATTGTAAGGATTAGAGACTCGAAAACAAGAGCGTAGCCATTTTTTTGGTTAATTGCAAATTGTGAGAATTTAATTTTACATCCATTGTTTTTTAAATATTATACACGATCGTTGATTGGAATTTAATCTAGAATTTTCGCCATTCTCTGGCTACGTTCTTGCTTGAAACCCGACGGTCGGAGAACAAAATGGAGGGAAAACTTAACGGTTAAAATCTGCGTGGCGCAATGAGCAAACTCGATGACTATTTGGACACGATTGGCGGGAAAATTGACTTTTTACACGCGATATTTACACGAGAATGACTTGATCCTGTAGCTGCCCATCGGCCATATTGAGTCATTCCAGACAATTATCCCTTTACAACCTAAATTATGCTCGACTTTACAATAAACGCTTGGAATCGCGTCTAAAACAGGATAGAGCAAAAGATACATAAATAAATCCCCACCCATCGCTAATTTGTTGCCTCTAGGGCCACACGACAGGTCGCCATTTTCCTTCCGGATGCCGTGGAAGTAAAAGTCCCTGAATACTCTAAAATATCCGTTTTTCGCAACACTTTGTAGGCCCCCAGGTCGTTCAGCATCTTTCCATGGCCTGCAATCATAAATTCTCATTAAAAAATACATCTAATAACCTATTTAAACAATCTATTCTCTCTCTCATGTTTCCTCAGAGTTCATTTACACTTAAAACGGAAATATTTACATTCTTCAGATTTTCTCGGCCCCCAAAGTTGCGTATAGACTCTAACAACGCGTCCCTCGAGTCCTGGACCACCGCAGACTTCGATCTAGCGCTCTTCAGGGTCACTCCAGTGATCACAGGCATCGTGGGCAACCCAGATCTCTGGTCACCGTTCCTCGACTCTGTGAACGCGTTGAAACCCTTCGAAGGTTCATTTTCTTTCCTCGAATTTGCCTCCAATCGCTTAGGTTTCGATCGAAGGCAAACTTCCTGCCCGAAGACCCTAGAAAGCTGCTTAAAATTCATCGGGGACGTGTCTATCACGTTGTCGTCCTGCTTATCATCCGCGAAACTCTTCTTCAGCTCGACTGCAGTCACCATTGGCCTGTCGTCGTCATTATGCGGCTTTTTGAAGCCCAATGGCGTCGTGTGAGCTATGAGCTTCTTGGCCAGGTCTTTGGACCCACTCTTCCCATGGAATCCGTTGTTCTTTTCGGTGTTTCCACGCCGATTGCGACTGTCTTCGTGGTTCAACTCGGTTCTTGAGCTAGTTATGGTCGGAGCAATCTCGTTCGAGCCTAATTTATAGTCCGTGTCCATTTTTATTTGCACGTTTGCGGGCTGACGCTCTGACCAGCTGCCTAGAATGATCGCGGGCGGGCCTGCGTAAGTATAGTGCTTCGATATCGGCTCTGACGATCGTTTGGAATCGCTCTTTTCGTCGATCGGTCCTCTGAAAAGGTCGCCGTTAGAATCTGTGGCGGCCATCTTTGATCTGACGAGAAAGTTATGTGTTATGAAATACAAAAATTAATTAAATAATGTTCTATTCCCCTAGTGCTAGGGATAAAAATTTTACTTGAAGAGCAGAGACCTTTTTCACATTTTTTTCCAATTTACTCAAACTGAACATCATCCCAAATATACTCTAATGCGTTTTGAGGAATATTGTACGTTGTAGAAACTATAATTGACCACCTCAAGGACACTTACCTTGTTTTCTCTGATAATACTGTATCGTCGGATTCTTTGGGCACATTTTCCTCCGCCTGTTGAGCATTTTTCAACTGCGGCAAAATGGTTTTCAGTACCTAAAACGTTCAAACGTGGCGTTAGTTGTTTTCTAAATTAATTCTATCTCTTAAATACAAATACATCCTACCAACAATACCCAAACTAAAAAATGTAATCTTGGAAACCCTTAACTTCCATCAAACTGTGTTCCAAAAGCCATTCACCTGCAAAGATTGCAGCTGTTTCTCTTTGGTGGGTTCTCCCTGTCGCTTCAAGCTGTTGTCTCTCCACTGTGAGAACTTCTCATTGTTCCTGGTGACGTTCAAACCATTAGACCTCGTCCCCGGGTTGTTCATGTCCACCAGACCCCTAAAGTCAGCGCCATTCCCTTGGAATTTGGACTTGTCCCACACAGGCACGTGGCTCTTGGACCTCTGAACATTGCTGGACCTATTTAACAGCTCTTTGGTCTTTGGTTTCGGCTCCTGACTCTTCTTCTCCTGGTAGTCGCTAGAATCCTCCATCTTGGACTCTAGGAATCGATCCTGCTGGCCTGTGTAGGTGGTAATAGTGAAATTCGACAGAGTGTTGTCCGTGGGAGCAACCCTGGGCGTCGACGAGTCAAAGTTTGGCTCCTTCCTCGAATTGTCACCCAATCTCTCACGTTTCTCCATTTCTTTCTTCAACTCCTCCTGCAACAGGTTCTCTGGCGTCTTCGGTGGAGTTTTAGGGTCCTTTTCATCTGAAATGTTGGGACTTCTGAGACACTGGGACGCTTCCAACCTTAACTGACGATCCAGTCTTTCATTTTGCTCTATTTTCTCCCTGGATTCATTCTCCAACAGGTCTTCACGAGTATTGGGATTTCTGAAGGTCTGGGAGACTTCCAACCTCGAATCACCATCCAATCTTTCACGTTTCTTAAGCTTTTCCCTAAACTTCTCTTCCAAGAGACCCTCTTCTGACGCTACCAAGGAGTTCCTAAGGTCCCTTTTAACTGAAATGTTAGGTTTCTTCTCGGTTCTGGGATTTTTGAAAGCTTGGGGCGCTTCCAGCCTCGAGTTATCCTCCAATTTTTCAGGATTCTTCATCTTCTCTTCGGACTTCTCTTCCAGGAGGCCTTCCACTGTTTCAAACGAGTTTCTAGGGTCCCTTTCTAGTGTATCCGAAGTGTCAGGTTTATCTTCACTCTTGACACGTTGTAGTGTCTCCAATCTCTCATGTTCTTCCACTTTTTCTTTAGATTCCTCTTTCAGAAGTTCTTCTTCTGTCAAAGTACTCCTAGGGCCCCTCCTTTTAGCTGAAGTTTCAGGCTTCTCTGCCTCAGTAGTGGGATTCCCATAAGACTGGGTCGACGAAACGAGGGTTTGGGAACTGTCGAAGACAGGGGAAGCGTCTCTGAAGGCAGTGGGCGGTGCTGGAAGCTGGTACTCCCACTCCACCAGGTCCTCATCGCCAGCTGACACGTAGTCCGACGTGTCCTGGGAATTTACAGTCAAATTTGGAGTGCTGGTCATCACTACATAGTCGTTTTGCTTCGAATCTTCGTTCGTGGGACTCTTCGAGTCAAAGGAATCCTTTTCTTTGGAAATGGTCGATGCTTCTAGGTTTGTTTCTTCAGGGCAGACTCCATCGACAGGTACAGTGTTCGAGACTGGGTGTGGCAGAGCGTGAGACAGGGTGGCTGACACCTTCTGCAGCAGCATGTCCGTTTCTAAGAGATTTGCATCTAAAAAATAAACTTAATTATCGTAATTACTTGAGAAATTCAAGATGAGGGTAAATTTTACTCAAATTCAAAAATCCACAAAAATTAAGTTTCATTCAAACCCCAATTACAAGCAACATGCACCTGATCCTCGATTTCGATCTCCTCCACCCACGCCCTCACGTTGGTCCCCAAAATTCGACGCCACGTTGATATTCAAAGCAAACGTAATGTCCTCGGAGGACGTCAGATGGCGCTTCTGTCTCTCCAAAGTGTTCGTTTCAAAATCGTTTGACTTCGACGCAGTTCGGGGAATCCTAACCCTCTTATGGTCGTTCTCTCCACCCTCCATCTTCGTATCCCGCGCCATTTTGCCTTCCCCCAACTGCAATGGCGGCTGTTCGTTCGTCAATGATTGCAAATGCTCGCATTTTGGTATCGTAGAGATCACCACAGCGTCAATTTTCGAATTGGAATTCTTCTGGACTCTTCTAGCTTCCGCCGCCATTTTGTTCGCATCGGAATCCACCACCGTGTCCTCGAAACAGTCACTTCTCTTTGTTTTTGCTCCTTTTTCGTCGAGAATTCCGGCGTCGGGACGTCGAGGAGAGCTTGGCGAGGAGTCTAATTTACTGGAGGTGTCCGGGACGCTACTAGACGCCGCCAGATGGCGTCGGGGCGCCACAGGCCTGGCCAAAGCTTTTCTACATTTAGCTACCGGCATTGGTTGGCCAACTGTGCGGAGGAGAAAAAGAAACAACCGTAACCAACAAGCGGAGAAAGCATGAGTGCATTTAGTGTATGTGTTTGATAAAGCTGACAGGATCAGGGACGCGGTACTAAAGATCTCTACTCTTCAAGTAAACTTTAAAATCCCCCCTGGAAAAGCTCCATCTACTATAGCGCTAAAAAAACTGCTGTGTTCTCGAAGTAGAGGAAGGAATGGAAACATCAATACCATACATATCTACCATAAAAATTGACTGAACAAATCCAACTAAACGAATTCTCCAGATCTGCTCTCCAGTATAGAGTTCAACTGGTTCAGAAACCTGTTCCAATTCTGCGTGGACTCCTCTCTGCTCACCAAGCCGTGAGGCGGGGGCTCCAGGATGCTCAGCTTCTTCTTCAGGTCCAATCCGTAATCACCCTGATGAACAATAGGGAAAGGAGGCAGTCTATCAACCTTGCTAGGCAAGGGATCCACGTTTGTCACTGCAATATCCAATGGTTTCTTGGAAATTGCAAAAATCTGCAAGTTGCTCAGAGGTGGAGCGATGAGATTAGATCTTCGACCATCGAAGCCATCGAGATTGGACAAAATCGAGTCGTTGTAGCACTTCGTGACGCTCAACTCCCCTAATTTTGGCTGACCTTCCGAGGAATTAACTTGGAAACTCCGCCGTAGCGAACTTTGCTTCTCGAAGCTGCTGACGATCTTCGTTTCCCGGAGCCTGCGTCCATTTTGAACGCTCAGACTGTGTCTGAGAGCCTTGGGTCGACAGCTATCGTCATCCACGTGGAGCCTGCTCTCTAGATCCGTCCCTATGTCGTCCAAGTTAACCAGAGTCTGCATTTTGAACAGCCTACTCATTTCCTTGAAGGACTCCTGACTGGATGATGAATCACGATTTCTCTGGGGCTCCTGTAACCTGGAAGAGGCCTTGGGATTACTGTACTTGGACTCCAACAAGCTATTCCGTTCCTTGAAGGACTTCTGGCTACACAGCTTGCGATAGCGCTGAGAAATGAACGCCCCTGAGGAGCTATCATTCGCGCACACGAAGCTCTGGGACTTCTGAAGCCTAGAAGAAGCCTTAAAACTGTCACGATCAGAGTGTAGGAGGCTACCCTTTGACTGGAAGAACTTCTTGTTAGATAGGTCGCAACTGCCCCGAGAGATGGACGCTCTCAAGCGTTCCCTAGCCTCCAAAGCTTCAGCACTCCCGCGAGCTAAGCTCTGGGAGCCCTGCAGCCTGGAAGAGCTCTTGAAACTGCCCTCGTCGGAGTCCAGGGAGCTACTCTTCGACCTGTAGCACACCTCTATCCTCGACTGTAGCTTAATTTTCTCCGAATCAAAGAGACTACGGCGACATTTCACGGCGTTCGTTCCTTCCTCCGCCTCGAGCAGCTGCTCGAAACTGTTCCTCGACACGAAACTATAAGACGGCATGCTATCCTCCATGCTACCGCGACTACGCACTAGCTTACCTCGTTTTCTGGGTGCTCTAGCGTCTACGAGGGTGTCTTCTACGGGATCCCCCGTTCCGACGGTCGGTAACTTAATATTTATGGATCCGGATCTTCGATAAGGGTCCAGATCGGATTTGGGGACCTTTTGGTCAATGTTCGAGGCAGTTGGTAACAGGTTCGGGGCCACGGTGGTCATTCCAATGTCCGAGTTTGCTTTGGACGGCACTCCAATGTCCGATGGAGGCTTGGAAGGGTCCATGTCGGAGGTCAAGGACTCCTCAGAGTCCACGATGCGTTCCAACGCTTGCGTAGACATAGCTGAGGACAGGGGTCTTGTTATCGGGGGAGGTGGCGCCGCCCTTTTCTTACGGAGACCTGCAACAACATGAATTCTGTGTATTCTGATACAAAAATTGGTTTCAATCGAGGTGGGGAGGCATGTAGCATTATCTGAGAGGAATAATCTTAAGGTCAAGCCTAAATTCGAAGAATTTTACCCTTGGGAAAAGGTAGACTAGCATTCTGGCGGGTCTCCAATGGTGGATTAGGCTTTCCAGGGACCGAACCGCCATGTTGTGATTGCGGTGCCCCTACTTGGGCGGGGCCAGGCTAGTATAGTAGTGCAAACTACGTGCAAGGGCCAGAACAACCCCCACTCATTTAGAAAAGGGGTGGAAGCTCGAAGATGGGGTGCTGGCAACTCAGAGCTATCAGAGTCCAGTTACTTTACACAACTATAATAACGTGGTTAGCATGTGGCAATTTAGGTGTTGTCTGGTGTCCGAAGGTATTAGGTGTGTGATAATTATTAATGTTTTTCGTGTTTGTTTATTTGTTTATTCATGTGTACCATTTTTACAATATAATATAAATACTGGTTAGTATTCTCAAGGTGACACAGAAATGTTATTTTATGGACGTTCCTAGAGTATTTCTCGTTCGAACGCCATCTTTAATTCGCCTTCTCCCAAGAACGATTTCGTTCAAAACTTGTACTTGTACTTCTTTTTTAATTTGAATTTCCACGAAAATAAACCTACAAAACAATTAAATATATACTTGTTTTGACGTGGTTCTGTTTAGTTATCTGCAATTTTACACAAACACAGCACGAGCAGGTAATAATTGGGATATCTACGTGTCTCTTAACAACCTGTGACCGTGTTACTGATAATCCTCGAACAGGAGGTCTAATTTTAAGTAGAGTAGTGGATCAGAGGACGTTTGCAATAGAGAAGCGAGGATTCTACCTGTAGAGCTCAACGAGGTGCTGCTAATTCCACGTGAAAGCGTACCAGAAACGGTGGCCAGGTTGCCAAGGCTCTTGCTGGACTGTGACGTATGAGCCAGCTTCCTGGGAGACTCAGGAGGCACCCTGTTCCTCCTGGGCAACGTCTCCGGAAGCCTCCCAGCGGAATCAGGATTATCACTCAGAACAGAAGCCTCGTGATAGCCAGAACTGTCGCTGCTGTTGCGACTGTGGCTGATCACCACCTTCTCCTTTCCAGAATCTCCAGCATTCTCTTCAGAACTCTGAAAGGAATCACCCAAAGACATAGTCATCAAATCTCTTATGAGATCTGCTTGTACCCGGTGTACTAACGTTGCTGACTTCCGGCTGGGTCTGGACAGGCGGTTTGGGCGCTGGTCTCCGCTTCCTCTGCGGTCGTGTGGGTGGGTACAGTGGGCTGGTGCTCCTCCCAGTCTCGTCGCTCCTCGCGGGCGACGCACTCCGCCCACCTAGGCTGTCAGTGCTCAAAGAGCCCTCTTTGGACTTCTTGAACACGAATCCAAAGACACCCTGCTTCGCCTGCTGCCTCCGTCGCTCCTCCTGCCTCTGCAAAGCCATAATGTCCTGCGTGCTTAGGGCAGCGCCTAGAGTTCGCCCCTGTTTCGCGTAAAGTGTCACTTCCTGGAGGTGGTAGTCCTGCAGGGACAGAGACAGGTCCAACGTCTCTTCCAAATTCGCTGGAGGGGAAAAAATTTCATTAAAAAGCTTGAAAGTAGTCTAATTTAGGTTTTAGGGACTTCCCCAAAGCATAAAAGATGTTGGTAACAGCTAGTTACTGGTTAACCGAGTCTAGATGGCGCTATTATCCCATAGATTGGTACATTTATTGTAGATGGCGCTGGTGTGGTGAGGATTATGGTGGTATTGTCGTTCTCTTACTTATCGACCGTGGGTAAGGGGGTTTGAAACCAGATTAGGGAGAAAAATAAACACAATTTGTGCACACACTATTATATATCCGTTGAGAATGAATTTTATGGCAATATTCAGTTCCATTCCCAACAAAATATGAGAAATCTCGTCTTTTTGGCCCCCAGAGTGTATAATTGTGTATCGTGCCGCAGGTTGAGGATTAAAAAGAAGACTTTCATTCCCGCGATAGAGAGAAATGCAGAATTCCCAGGAAAATTAGATCAGAGCAGCAAGTTATGCGCACACATATATATCTATATATTTATACGCGTGACGCGAATGGCTTCGGAAGCCATATTGTCGGCGCAAACCCAGTCAAAGCAGTCCCAGACGCCTTCGCGAATTCGATACGCGTCGCGCCGGAAAGGTATTTATGAAAATTGATATGGACGCCTGGCGACCGCGTGCAAACCACAGTATGCAAATTAACAATAATTAAATGTTAACGTCCTAAGGATTAATAAAATGGTCGGGGAGCGGTGAGAAATTTTATGAACTTTTTAGGACCACTTTTGCAGTATAACTGGAAGTCGAATCAAGCTTGTTAGTTGCCACACTCGTTTCTCGTGTCTAGGAACAAGAATCCAGAATTTTTAACACGTTACAAAACGTACAAAACCCACCTGGATGACGCAACTCGTATTTATTCCTGTCCAAATTCTTCTCGCGGCAGACTTCGTCCAGAATCTCGCCTAGGTTCATCTTTGGGCTGACTCTGGACACGTACAGCTGATTCCTGGGCAGATGCACCTGCAGCAGTTGCACAATCGTCGTAATCGCAAACTGATTTGGTACCCAAGGTCTCGACAACGATTTTACTGGGACTTTTGTGTTAAAATGTTTGTTTACCTGCAACCTGAAAGTGGTCTCGAACGGTTGGTTGGCCTGTTTCGTCTTTTGGGGGATGAAAGTCCCCTGTTTTGGTAGCAGCTTCACCTGGAATAGAGATTAATCGCTATAAACAGAAGGCAAGACCTTTAGAAATAAGTTTTGGGACCACCTCACACTGTGAATGATCTAAAGCATGGTGATTGGGGGTTAAAGCTTTCGACAGTGTACCTGTAGAGCATCTAATGCGCCAATGGGTGTGTTGGGTTGATGAGGTAGGACCATTCCACGCTCTCCAATCGCTTGCAAGGTGTAACTCGAGGCTGACAGTTTATGAGCAGTGACTATCTGCACCAGGAGGTCCATCATCGGTGTGCTGGGGGAAAAAAAAACATTCATTTTTTATGCAATTCTATATTTATTTTAGCATTATATGTTTATTAATAATTAGTACAGGAGTGCAGAAGGTTCCCAAATTGAATTTCTGTTCGAAATTAATTGAGATCGATGGTCCCCCGAGTGGCCCAAAGATGGCGTCGTTCCTCAAATTGGAAGTTTCTCTGCGACTGCAACGAGACGAATAGAAACTTCCGTTGGGACGGTTTCTCGCGCCAGTAAACGGATCGTTAGCCATGATTCTTGCATCGAGAACGACTATCGTTTCTCTCGGAGACACAGATTATGGCAACCAGCTGCTACAATTTCCTACGCCGCGACCCGAATTTCTGGAAAGCGTCATCCATAGAAAAACGGCGCCCCGATGGCTGAATTTCTCCTTCTCGAGGCATTTTTAACATTCTTAGAAAGTAAATCGACCGAATATCCGCAACGGGAACGCTTCTGTTTATATGTCGTAATGTCCAAAGACCATTTTAAAATTTTAACTTCATTTTCAAAGTTTGATTGTACTCTTTTTTGGTTAAAATTTTTTAAAATAGCCTCACCTTCTTTGCACCGTGACTCTCTGCGTCTGATGGTGGTGTTCCCGAGGTAACTGGACCAGAAGCTCCATACTTCCGGCCAGCATGTCTGCTGGTGTGTCCTCAGTCACGGTCAGAACCATTCTAGATGGCCTCTCCTCTCTGAACATGCAAAACAAACAAAAATAAATCTTCCTTTACAATAAAATTCCAAATTTTTCTCGAGTGATACAACTTATGGGAGTTCTTATTATATTCAAAGCAGGCATAACTTTCTCCGCGCATTTTTCGCGAACAATAGTTCATCACACGTACGGGTTACATAACCTAAAAGGTGGCCAATAATTATCCAACGAGGCACGTCGTGAGCCACTCTTAATTACGCTTTGTTAACGATAATTACACGATTCGAGAGCTGATTTATTAATTGATTTCAATTGCAATTTGTCTTTATTATTCTAATAGAGAACTGTCTATTATTTTGCATTATACAGAGTGTTCTAGAGGTTCTCACTCGGTCGGTAAGTAGAGTTCTTCGTGCAGAGTGAGAACCACTGCCAGGCGCATCCAGTTGTGCGCAGGTTGCCTACCCAAAGGCGCAAGTGTTAATAACTCTTTAACGAAGGACTCAATCAACAAATTATTATTCTTGATTTTCGTCTTATTTTGGCCTCTAGAATCTTCTGTTAATTTTAAAATAATTAAATTAGAATTCTTGCTTTTGGCTCGCCGGAGAAACTCTTTTTTTGGTAAACAGTTTGTCGTTCTTCGCGTTTCCTGTCGCAACAACGTAATTAATCCCCCGTGCACGCATTGCCCATTACCACATTTCTTTCTCGTGGTGGAAAACGTGCAACCATGGAATCCGATTGGGCAAGTCGCCGCCGTATCACGAATGGCTCCCGCTCTAGGGACGCTCTGGAGTCACGTGCACGTACACATGCTCCATATTCCTCCTCAATGAAGATCTAAACATTTTTCTTTCGCATCGTATCGATTCCATAACAGCAGTTTTCTACAAAAATAAATTCCCTGATGTCACGTATTTCCATAGATAATTAAAATTTCTTTACAAGAGGCGCTTATAAGTATTTCATAAATCATTCGATGGTGAAGCTTGGCGTGCTCGCCCCATTCATAATCCTCATCGAACAGCGCGGTAAACAGACTGGAAAGTGGTCAATTTTTCCTCGATCGAGTCGATCGGACAGGTGGAGAACTAACGGGATGCTCTGTTGGAATTTAGGAAGGCCAGGGCCCCGAGCTATGGAACGAGTCCCTCCCCCTCCCGCCATTTTGTATCCTCATACGATCCTTATGTAATTTTCAAGGATATGCGCCAATTACGTGGCTCCACGCTACCGATTTTATCAAGTTTCATCCGCAAGATCCGCGAGTAAACGATCTTACTCACTATTTACAATTATATTTTATCCTCGATAAATAAAAAATTCTCGAAAATCGGATTTTGCGTGGCGATTTTCTCTGCCCCCGGAACACATCGATTTCGATACGCCCGCGGGCAGAATCCTTTCACTGGACGAGTTAACGATTTCCTCGACGACGAGAAATCGAGATTCGACTGCATTGTGCTGCGCTATCGATCGGCGCATCGATTGCAAAACCGTCCGTGCCGAACAATCTTCTCAGAAGCCTTTTCCAACACGGGCAGCAACGTGTTCTTTTTTTTACTTCTTTCTCCTCGTAATCGTTACTTTCCCGCAAATTATCCGGCGAATTCTGGAATGTGGCGGAAACCAACGTCGGGCGCGTCGTAAAACTCTTGCTTGCTTTCGTTTTGATTTGCTTGCTTGATTTCGTGGAGATTGCAGCAACGTACTGGCTGGGAATTTTAGTGTAGAGGGTGTTCAACCCTGGGGGAAATTTTAATGGGGGATTCTGGGGGCCAAAATAAGACGAAAATGAAGAATAGTAATTTTTTAATTGAGGCTTCGTTAAAAAGTTATTAACGTTTAAAGTTGAAGTGTGCAGCGCGCACGGTTCCCGTCTTACAAGCGCAACTATAAACGTTATTAACTCTTTAACGGAGCCTTATTTTGGAAATTGGTATTCTTGATTTTTGTCTTATTTTGGGCTCCAGAATCCCCCATTAAAATTTTTCCCACGGTTGTCTGAACACCCTGTATTTTCTACCTAAAACGATTTTTAAGTAACATTAAAATATATTAAAATATTGTTTGGGAATTAAAGAAAAGAGTTGTACCTTGAAATTATGTGGTAGGAAAATTAAGGAGAAAATATTCTTCCTACGCAGTACGTTGTTAATTATTCTCTGAGCTAATTGGTCAGATAGTATTGCAAATGGTGAACTTGGCAATTATTATCTTTTGTTGCTCAATGTGCACAACTGCTACGCGTCTGTTATCATTTATGACTCATTTTCTTGGCTTACAAACCTACTATTGTAGTTTCTATTTTTCCACGATACTACAAACGCCACACCTATCGTACAATTATCAAAGTCTGATGATATTTTCCCTGGGAACAATTTTAATGAGAGATTCTAGTGGCCAAAATAAGACGAAAATCAAGAATATCAATTTGTTGATCGAGGCTTTGGTAACAAGTTATTAAAAAATTTCGAATCGTTCTAAAAAAATTATTTTTGGTTAATGGGTGCAATTATAATCAGTTTTGGTCAATAGACGTACCCTCGAAATCCTACGCGTTTTCGAGAAAAAAATTCGAGTAGAAGCCTAAATTTTTCGACAAAAAAAAAATTTGTCAACTCGTTCTAAAAAAATTATATTTAGCAACAGGGATCAATTATAAGTATTTTTGGTGAATACACATAACTTCGAAATCCTACCCACTTTCGAGAAAAAAATTCCAAAAGGTACTGAAAGTTTTGGACGAAATTAGAAAATTTCAAATCGTTCTAAAAAAATTATATTCAGTTACAGGGGTCAATTACAAGCATTTTTGGTGAATAGACATACCCTCGAAATCCTACGCATTTTCGAGAAAAAAATTCAGTACGGGCAAAACTTTAAATGTTAATAACTTTTTAATAAAGCCTCCATCAACAAATTAGTATTCTTGATTTTCGTCTTATTTTGGCCTCCAGAATCTCCCATAATACAATTTAATCAAACTTCTTTACATCAAATTTTGAAAATTTTTATACGTAAAAGTATAAAATTATAAATAATAATCTTCGCGGAATAATTTCGTCGAATAACGGCGTTTAGGTTAATAACGCCATTAGATTATTCTTGCCACTTCGTGAGACTTTTTCTCGCCATTAGAAATACAGTTGTTTTATAATAATTCACATTCCAATAATATGTTACACAGTAATTAATTACAAAGTACAATAAAAATTGTAATTATCAAGAGAACGTGCAACAATAACTGACGTAACAAATTTGAATATAATTCCTCGTGAATCATGTGCATTTATGTGAACTAATTACTGCAATTATGGATATTATTTTCCCACCTGATTTAAATATTACCAATTATACACATGTTACTATTTCAACTTTAGTATCATTGGATGGCCTGTTATTTATTTCAAATTTCTTTCAAATTTAACATTCAATAGATTTAGTAGATTAAAAAAAAATCGAGTTGAAAAAAATGCATAATCGTCAAGCTTAAACTAAATATGGTACGCGTCTATTAATTGCAAAATTATGACGAACATGCTAATTAACATACCAAGATCGCGTTACATACAAGGCACAAGTGTGTTTTAAGCAAATGCACAAGTGTGTTCCAACTAAAAACACACCTGTAAGCTTGTAAACACACAGCAATCACAATAAACAATGGCCTCCGGGCGTGCGATTAACATACGGTATTATTAATCTCGAGATCGTTATTCCTACTACGCGACGACCTTCAAATTATAATTGCGATACTCAATCGGTTGCTCAATGATAATTTCCTATACGTTTGCATCATTTGAATTTCAAATGGTCTGGAATCTGCGTTGTCGCGGACTATAAAAGACAATCCGTGCTCGTGAAAATTTAACGATGTAAAATAGAAAAGAAAAAAAATGGTTAAACGTTATTCGGTCGATAACAAAAAAATTAATATCACTTTCCATTTAAGAAAATCTGAGCGCCCCTCCCAACATTTGCTTTCCCGAAAAAGGGAGCTAAAAGATTGGTAATAATCCAGTTATGACATAACCAGGTATCTGTGACAGCAAGTAGGCGTAGATCTCATGCATTTTTAACAGTAGCAATTACCTAGTAGACTATTATTCAAAGTGTATAAAGGTGACGGCATTGAAAATTAAATACACGGCATTGCGCATAATAATGTACCAGAAATCCATTTCTGCACGTCATAGCGTCCACTCTCGTTCAATCTGTGTCTTTAGTGTCCGCCATTAAATAATTGGAACATCGAGCACGCTGTGACTACGTTATTCCAGGATCCAATGGTCAAAATAACGAACAAATCGGGCGCAGGACGTTTTGGAAATGAGCTGGTTAATTGGCCCCCGGTTATTTGTCGTTCTTCTTGCCCGGTTCTCTGTAACCTGTTGGTCCTTTTGCTTTTTTTTATCGTCTCGCGGCCTCTCTTCCTCGAGTGCGCAACGGAGGCACGCATCCTGCGCGCGTCGAATGCGCGTGCGAGTAGACGAGAAGATCAGTCGCTGCAGAAGCTCTCTCCGAGGAGGTCGCGAGCAAGGCCACTTCGGGCGTTGCCCTCCTGAGCTCGATCTCGACTCGCATATGCTCCAGGACTCATCGAGGCTTTATCTAACGGGTGGCTTCCCTCGAGTTCCCTCGATCATCTCCCAAAATTGTTTACAATGGACACTCGTCAACAAAATTTTCAATCATTCCTACGGGATCGGAAACGACTTATTCGATGCTGGAATTATGGAATATTTATACGAAGTATGCTCGCAAAAAGAAATATTATGAAATAAAAGGATTGTTTACTGCCCAATAGGTCGAGCAACGTTACACGTCGTTGCGATGGAATGTTTGCATAATTCTAACGTTATAACAGAATCAGGAAGAGCTGAAATTATGAGAAGGGGAAAGGAGTCGTTGCAACGGCATCTTGCATAATCATACGTGTGTGCATTCGTTCGCTGTCGGTGCATCGGGAAATGCAACACTCTGCATGGAAACTTCGCACCAATTTTTTAGCGGTTCTCAACAACGAAACTG